GTCCTCGTTCCCCACAGCTCTTGCAGGGATACCTCGTTCCCGCCTTTCCCTGGGGTTTGGAGCTCTCCTCCTTGTTTTGAAGATTCTTTATTTCCGTCAGCAATTCCCTCTTTAATCCATGTAAGAGCTTGGTAAATTCAGATGAGTCTTCTTCCACTGTCGAAATTCTTTGCTCCTTAGTCCTCCCTTTGAGCCCTTGTCTTATTCTCTCAGACTCTTGATAGCTCTCCTCTCTAAGAGCAATTTCAATGCTCTTGTCTAGGGTGGATGGCTCCTTTCTGTGTATGGCTCACCTTAGCTCCTCATCTGGGATTGCTTGTTCAAAGCTCCTGCGAGTGAGCCTATCTCGAGCATCCCGGCTCATTTCCGGGTATGCCATGGAGGTCAGTCTTCGTATGTGTTGCCCTAGACTTTGCAAAGATTCTCGAGGCTTTCTTTTTCGACTGCACAGCTCAGCCTCATACAAATCGGCCTTGCCACCTGGGCCGAACCTCTTCTCCAAGGCTTCCAGTAGGTCTTCGTAAGAGTAACCCCTCTCCAACTCCAAGACAATCTGCTGAGCATCTCCTCTTAGGTTGGTGGCCAAATACTGAGCCTTCTCTTTGTCCGTCCAGTTATTGTTTTCAACACATGTTTGAAAATACACTTTGTAATCTGGCCAGGGGCTTGATCCATCAAACGTTTGTGTGGGTTTTATCCTTGTATATTTCCCTGTGTTTGACGATTCGACTGCTTTTCCGCAAATTTCGATAGCTTTCTGAGCCATTTGCAGAACTGAATCTAGCGCCGAAGTATCAGGGGCATTTGAAGCTTCTTTATCCCTGCTCTTCTTATCAGGAGACACATCAGGCTCACAGTTTTGTTCTTGCCCTGTGGCTCCCGTTGCTGTCTCTTCTTGAGTAACTCGGGCTGTCTTATTATCATAACTGCGGGATGGTAGCTCCAGGTGTGGATTCGCCATCATTAAGTTGTGACCTACCCCCTCTTCTGGATGCCGCTTCTGTTTCAACTCAGGCCTGTACCTGGGCTGAGGACTTTCTTTCATGGCTGTTTTCTCTGCTCTTCTACTCGAAGAAGTAAGTTTCGGCACAGCACCACCCGACTCTTTGCTAACCTCAATGTATGACAACATGGGATCTGGATTTCTCTTTATTCTTTTTACAGAGCAATTACTCCCCCCTTCCAGATGTGACCTATCCTCCATCGGATGAGCTTGAAATCTCCTTCCAGGAGGAGGCAGTGGAGGCTCTCCATACGTGGTCCTCTTCTCCCAAGTGGAGCGTACAGGGACATCTTGCTCACAGGCAGTTTCCTGTTCATGCTTTACCCGTTTCTCATGAACCAAATATGGAGGCAGCCAACCTCCCGCCTCCCCGGGGACTGGCTCAAACATCATTGGTGTGTCTTCTCTAGGAAAGTTAGCTTCTAACTGTGCTTGCCCACACTCACGGGGACTTATTCCTCTGTAACTTGAACGTGACTTAAGTTGGTGCTCTGTGATAGGATCCTGGTAGATCTGCCACTCCTGTTAAATTGGGTTAAAACTGCTCCCCCGAATATGTTTCCTCTTTATTTCCTCTGGTGGGGATCTTGACTGCTCTATAGTCTGGGCAATGGATTGCAGGGCTCCATGCACTGAACTCAGCCCAAGGGAGAGATCCTTTTGAAACGTGTCAAGGCCTTGACTCAAATTTCCCCTTAACTTCTGTTGCTCCCTCCTCAGTTCATGTACACATTCTCCCTGCTCTTTCACACTGCTCGTCAGCAAAGTTGTTTGGAGCTGCTGTGACACCAGTTCCCTCTGCAGTGTGAACAATTCTTCACCCATTTGGCTGACTCGAACCTCCTCAGTAGAAGTTCTTGGCTGATTTTATTCAGTGGGCTCCTCTTGGTGGGGTAGCGTAATTGGGTAGCACTCGCTGCTCTGTTCCTGACCAGTATCTGGTACTTTGCAGCGGAAAGGCCCTCCTCGGCCTGTTTGGTGACGGCATATCTTCCACAGGAATGGTGTCATCCAATACCATGTCATCACCTCCTGGTTGTCCTTTGAAGAACACCGTCTTTTCGCCATCTATTTCTAATTCTGCTTCTTTGTCTGTTTGGAGCTTGCTCTCCATTGCTCGGCTCGTATCTGTGTCTGATGTTGCCATCTTGTGCTCGGTACTACCGTTTTACTTATCCCACTTCTGACACCAATGTCGCGTTCCAGACTTTTGCTGATAGTCTGGAAGCGATGAGTAACTTTTCTACCTTACACTTCTTTGTGGGCCCAGTCCTGGTTTGGTGGACTGGATAAAACGACAGTCACAAATGGCTTCAAATTTAATACATATATTTCTACACAACTATTAATACAAGAAAATGACACACTTTAATGTTCATAAACTAAAATGTCACTATAATTCTCCTTGTAGGATTGATATTGGTCATTGCTGCGTTGTTAGCTCTTTGCTTGGCTCCCTGGGCTCTGTAACCTGGCTCCTCTGGCTCTTGAACTTTGTTCATCTGGCTCTTGAGCTTGGCTCCTCTGGCTCTTTGTTCAGCTCCTATTGCTCTTGAACTTGGCTCCTCGTCCAGCTCTTTGGCTCTTTAGCCTGGCTCCTCTGGCTCCTTAGCCTGGCTCCTCTGGCTCTTGAGCTTGGCTCCTCTGGCTCCTGAACTTGGCTCCTCTCGCTCTTCGTTCAGCTCTTTGCTCTTTAGCCTGGCTCCTCTGGCTCCCGAACTTGGCTCCTCGGTCAGCTCTTTGGCTCTTTAGCTTGGCTCCTCTGGCTCTTGAGTTTGGCTCCTCTGGCTCCTGAACGTGGCTCCTCTAGCTCTTCGTTGAGCTCTTTAGCCTGGCTCCTCTAGCCCTTAAGCTTGGCTCCTTTAGCTCCTGGACTTGACTCCTCTGGCTCCTCGTCCAGCTCTTTGGCTCCTTAGCCTGGCTCCTCTGGCTCTTGAGCTTGGCTCCTCTGGCTCCTGAACTTGGCTCCTCGTTCAGCTCTTTGGCTCTTTAGCCTGGCTCCTCTAGCCCTTAAGCTTGGCTCCTTTAGCTCCTGAACTTGGCTCCTCTGGCTCCTCGTCCAGCTCTTTGGCTCTTTAGCCTGGCCCCTCTGGCTCTTAAGCTTGGCTCCTTTAGCTCCTGAACTTGGCTCCTCTGGCTCTTGAGCTTTCCCGGGAGGCTCCTCACTGCTCGATGCGATGGAAGTCTTCCTGGAACTATCTCTGTCAGTGGTGAAATCAACTGACAAAATAGTTCACCGTGACTCTTTACTTGACTCTTCTGGCTCTTGAGATTTTCGGGAAGTCTCCTCACTGCTCGATGCGATGGAAGTCTTCTTTGAACTATCTCTGTCAGTGTTGAAACCGAACTGACAAAAATAGCCCACACTGTCTCTTTGCTCAGCCCCTATTCTTACTGGGAAGGCTCTTAGCGGCTCGTTGCTCCAGAAGTCTTCCTGGAACTATTTATCGTCAGTGGTGAAACCGAACTGACCAAAAATAGTTCGCCCCGTTGGGAGGTTTCTCAATTGCTCCTTACAGCTAGTGGTGAAACCGAACTAACTATAATGCAAGGTTGCTTTCAGATTGTTCCTTGCTGCTTCCTCAAGGACAAAACTGGGCTCTGAAAAATTCTTGACAACACTTTGAAATTGAAATATGAAGCTATTCCAACATACTCCGTCAGGGACCCACGAAGGCAATCAATGACACAGTGTTGCTATACATTCAATCTGACAAATATCTCACTTAAGAAAGCCTGGGACACAAAATGGCGACACACAGTAGATCTCAATACCCGATGAATTAGAAACTAACAGTCAGTCAGAGGCATTTCAGTAGCATGCTGGCCATGAAGTTACAAATTCTGGTACGCATGAAATTAAAAATTACAGTCAGTCAGAGGCATCTAGTAGCATGCTGGCCATAAAATCAAATCAACAAAAAGGAAAAACCTCACCCGAATAAATGTTGCTTTCTCTAAGTTCCCAAAAATTCAGGTATCCTCTCTTGGTTCTCCTTCAGAAACTTCCTGGTGTGTCTTCCCGCTTTATCCTTCTTAATTAATCCCGAATCACTGCCTGATGGTTACTCCAAAGAGTGATAATTGGATTTTCTCCCAACCTTTCATTCACGCTGCTTCCTTCAAGATGGCGACCTTCGTTTTTTCCACGTGATGGCATGAGTCACAGGCACAGGTGAACACATTTTGAAATCAGGGGCACTGCAGTGCGGCAATTAACACAGAGAGTCCCCCTCCCGCAATGGACTACTTTATCAAATCACTACGCAATGCGACAATGTAAAAAATCCCCCCTCCCGCTATAAACTACTTAAGAAGATTACTACGCAATGTGATATAATGTAAAAAAATCCCCCCTCCCGCAATGGATAATAGTGGTAAGAGTTTGGCACTAAACCTGGTTATTTGTATGCATGTAAGATATAACTGTAATAACATGTAAACAGAATACGAAGTAATATAATACATGAATGACACTACATTAAAGTTTGAGAACTGAATTTGCGCCGAAAATGATCGAAAGTAATGGCGCAGCAATTTCTAGTTTTACCGATAATTTTAATGACGATCTATGAAGAAACTACTTGATCAATTTACAATTGGAAAGCGTCTAATTAAAGATTAACTATTCAATTATCGTAATATTACTACAAGAAGCACAAATTAGGGCAGGTTGTACTTACAATTGACGAAATCAGTGGACGTTGAACAAACAGAATTGTTTTGAATCGCAATTACAACTTTTGAACTTCTGCGCATCCCAGTGCGCAGGTTATTAAAAAAAAGTAAAAGGAGGAGTCCCTATAAGGAATCAAAAATTTCCCACAATATCTTAAATACATATTTATAAGGTTTATAAGTTTTTATGATTTATAGGTGAAAAATAGATTATTTTCAAAACATCATTTTTACCGACAACACCCTGATCTCAGATGGCTACCCTATAGCTATATAGTACTAACTTGCTTATATGCAACATATTTTGATATTTTTTTAGCTGCAGCAATGATAAAACATATGGACGAAACTGTTGATCCATGTGACGACTTTTATGAATACGCTTGTGGAAGATATCTTAAAGAGAATGTAATCCCCGAGGATAAAACAAGTATCGGAACTTTCTACTCAATGAGGAATAAAATCGTACCGAAATTACGTGGTTTGTATTCAGTATTTGTATTTGTATTTTGTTTTGTTTCTTTTCATTTGAAAGTGCAATTTAATCTGTTAACTTGTAATCTCAATCTTAAATTACGGCATACGATTTTGTTTTCGTTTCAACCTATTGTCATGTATGGTGGTAGATTTAAGTTTTAAGTTTCTGCATCGGATTTTTCCCAGTCAGAATGCTGCTCTTCTGCCGCTTCCTAGTTTAACCGTGTACCCTGCTTCCTCATTCCAGTGATCTTGACAAATCTGGTCCAATCTCCAGTCTTTGTTATTTCTACCATCTTTCTTCTTACTCTTTGGTCTGATTTTAACCACTGTACTCTCCCATTACATTACTATCTAGTCCTCAGTTCCTACAAAGTCGTTCTGTCTGAGACTGCCCCCTGTATCACTGCTAGCCAAATTGACAGACCATTTCCTCCCTTTAGCAGTAATGGGTTCAGTTGATCCAGCTTTTGGATCTTTGGAATCTATAAAGCAATGCTGTACTTTTGTTACTCCAAATTCTTTGACTATGGGAAATGTTGTAGGTACGGCTGGATCGGAGATGGAGTATTTTACAAGTTGACAGAGCTTAAATATTTGGAGACCCTAACCATTATATAATCAAAGTTATCCTTTTTAAGGCCTCGATTGTGGTTACAGAAATATCAAACATGTGCATTGGGAATGGCAAATTAAACCTAGGAATGATTCCATACTGGAAGCATCGGGCAATTGCATTCTGTTCATTAACCAAGTAGTTCTTAGACTAAAACGTTACAATGATATCATATATCGTATGACACAAGCTCATAGAGGTTCTCGAAATTTCAAAACAATGACCCAAAGTGAACCATTGCTTTTTTAGAAAGCCTAATGGAAGATATTGGTCCCAATGACATCGAAGCAACAATTAAGGCTAAGGACATGTATGCTGCTTGTATGAATGAGAGTAAGTTTTCCAATTTATACCTAACATTTGTTAAAACACCCAGGGCACTCGTCATTGTCCAAAAACTCCTAATATTATTAAGCAGTTTTAATTTAGCACAGTGAGGCAGTATTTGAAATCAGGGATACCATCAGTATTACTACTAATGTACCCTCTGTTTCAAAAGTATTTACCTATTAAAGAACATATCTTATAACTTATGACCAGTGGACATAATGAAACTTGTCACATATAGTTTAACGTATATTAGACACACTATCTTAAAATTTGAAGACGATTTACTAATGTTTACTTACATTATTACACAAGACAAAATCGTGTTTAATAACTAGCAATACCAATGTTACAACCATCTTACCCGGTCCTTAGTACTCGCAATCCTTGATTATTGATACACTTATCTGGAAGGTTATTTGAGCTTACCCGTTGGTATTGATACACTTATCTGTGTTTTTTGGCCCGAATACTGAGGTTTATTTTTTTAATTATTGAGTCTTATTCTATTGCATTAATATGTAGTTGACTTTGTAAGTACGGACCTGATATGATAGGTCTATTACATAATATGTATATATAAATATCGTGATGATTAATGAATCTAGATTAAGACTAATCATTAAAACAGACTTAGACGACATTTAATATTTAAAGAAAAATAATTTGATAGATAACTTATGCATGTATAAGTCTCTTAGTAAAAAATTTAAGGGAAACTGGTTTCGTGATTTAACAGAGGACAGCAAGGTATCAATGTTGTTGTCTACGATCCCGTATTTATTTACAGTTTGTAGATTAAAGATCCTTATTTAAAGACAACGTCGTCTTTATGAATTATTTAAGACATCAGTAGTCACAGAAATTGATTATCCGAAGAGGATACCGAGTTCTGATCAGCAGACGAACAATTGTAGACATGGGCTGAGTTTGTTTATTTAACAGTTAGATTTGTTGACTTACTGATCCGTATTGTAATCTCTGGGAAGACGTTATTTTTATTTATTCTATACTTTGTATTTGCGTCCAATGTAATAAAGTTGATACTTTTATAAACAAGAATTTCATTTTAATGGCCATTTTGTATGCCTTTTATTTCCACACCATGTTTTGATTTTGCCTCGATGTTATTGTGTCATAGTGTTTTTGCTATAAAATTCAAGAAATGTCAACTTTTTAATTAAGGAATGTTGGTTACTCTCTTGTGGTAAATCAAATTGTTGATGATGTCAACGGATCATGAGATAACACATTGTCCTGGGAAAGATATCAATATCAGTTGTATATCGGATAGAAAAATAAATATTATAGTAGATGCTAATTGTTTGCTCTGAAATAATGTGACTAATGACTATTCCAGCGAATCAGGTAGATATTTCAACTGAAAGAATTTAGTTTTCGTTTCTATTAATTTGACAAGTAGGGTCGTTGATAAACACATATAACTGTAAAAGTATTTATTGGAAGTACTTGTTTTAACAGTCTTTTCGCTTCTCTTTTTGTCTCTCGACAGGCATAGGCGTAGCCAGGGGGGGGGGGGGTTGCGGTGCATAACCAATAAAATAGAACCAAGAAATAGAAGAAGAGATAGAAGCTTCAAGCTCAATTTTGAAGGAAGTTGCATCTTTTGGCTTGCTTTTGCCACGATCGCAACCCCCCCCCCCCCCCGACTGAAAACCGTTATTGTTTTTTGGCGATCGCACCCAATCCCCCCCCTCCGACTGAATTGGCTACGCCCCTGAACATGGATAATAGGGGCACTATTACGCTGCGTGCAGAGTCTAATTATAAACTACGAGAAGACGAAACTCTCATTTAAGAAGTGAAGTCGAACAAATGCAAAGGGTAGGGTATTATAGAAGGGGATCATATAAAAGCAAGATGTATTTCAAAACGCCTTTAACTTTTGTTCTTCAACTGTTGCCCTTTGTGCATTTCAAAAATAAAATATCTTAATCTGATTTGTTCCACCTTTCTTTTCGCTCAGTTCTGCAATATTATCGTTATGTCCATATGTTGTTTAGGATTATGTCATTTGCGAAATAGCTGTAAGACATTATGAGAATGAAGATGGGAGTTTCCACGATAATGTTGTTCACATTATTTTATACACATACCTGCATAAGAATCGGAGACAGAAGTCTTAATATTGTCCAATCAAAAAATAAGATTCTAAAATTTAATGATAACAAAAGGATTAATTGCTTAGTTCTCTTTGTTTTAGTCTTTGTTTTCTTAATGCGGAAGTGTACCAACATAATCTAAATTACATAAGAGATCATCTAACAGTCTAAAATTGCTTTTAATTGCAAGTTAATGCATTCCGATCAAAATTTGTATACCTGTAATTTGGGGGGGGGGCGATGTTACATCACATAACTACAACGTTCATATAGAAATATACAATAAGCATGTCCGTATAAAAGCTAAAATTATAAAAACTCATTTCAAAGTCATTCTGTTCATGGAAGCGTCAAGTTATGAAAAACAATGCTAAACACTCAAACAAATCGACTTGATTACCTTTGAAAACTTCTTGAGAGGAAATGGACAAATGTATTTTTCGAACTCATTAGCACGTCTGTCTGATTGAAATACTATTTTTTAAATACAAACATAAATGATTTAATCTTGGTCAGAAGTCTGAACATTGTCCAATAAATTTAAAATAATAAGAATCTAACATTTAATGATTACAAAAGGATTAATTGCTATATAGTCTTTGTCTTAGTCTTTGTTTTTCTAACGGCGGAAGTGTACCAACATCACCTTGATTACAGAAGAGATCATCTAACAGTCTAAAATTGCTTTTAATTCCCGGGTTTTAATTGCATTTTATGTATAAACTTTTTGCCTCTATTCTCATTTTTAAACCTGTTTCTGTTTGCGTATTTAACAATTGTGATAAATTATTCAGTTAGTGTCGAAATCAAAACAATTTTCTACATTATAGTCCCCTCCTCTTGCACTGACTAAATATTAAAATAAGCCAGTCTGATTGCGAATTTACAAATACTGTAAAAGTAGCTTCAAACCGCTTTTTAATCAGAGAAAACAATAAGTTAATTCATCTGATTGCGAAAATACGAATCAATCTGATTATCTGATCTCCATGCTATTTGATTCGTGCATTATCTACAAGTCAGTCGGGCAAGGGTGAAATTATTTCATTTGAAAACAGAAATAAATATCAGAACCTCTCTAACTATTCGGAAGAGATTCATACAAAAATAAGGTACACAACTGATGAAGGGTCGCACGTAATGCACGCATCCCTCTCCTCCTCCTCCGTGTTTGCCCACACACGACCATATTTGACATTGATATTTTTCTAAAAGCGTTTTCCCCGGGAACATAGGTGTAGCGGTTGCCAGAAGTCGCACAGCTTGGGAGTCAGGGTATCCTGATCATGCCTCAACGCCTGACGGGTCTGATATTTAGAGGGGGTGCAAAAATTATTAGGGGCGGGGTAAACGTGAAAGTTGCCAAAATATCCATAGGCGTATAGCAACCTTCCCCATAACAATAAAAATAAAACGCTGAGAAAGAAGAAGAAGAAAGGAGCATTAAAATGCCACAATCATACTCTTCTGACTGTAAACCGAAATCTTTTTGGCGATCGCACCCCTCCCCCCTGACTGAAAGCTGGCTACGCCCTTGATATCTGTTTTTGGTCATCAATAAAACTATATTTATATGGTGAGGATTTATGGATTTTGATAACAATAAGCTTTATATATGCTTTAATGTTTTATTTATCATGATGCTTTTTTGTAGGCTATTAATTACAGTTCTTTTTACAATAAAAAAACTGGTATGTTTATGCAAATTCCGATTGGACTAATATAAAGGGATATTGTTTCATTATATGGACTTGAGAAAGTCCGACATACTCATTGCTTTCAACCCAAAACTTAAAATAGGAAGTTATCAAGATCCCAAGAACACGATCGATACTTAAACAATACGTTTGTAAAATCCCGGCGATCGAAATGCAATCAAACTTTCGGAATCAGGTGCCTAATTAGTCTTTTGATCTCTAAAGTTTTACGACTGAACTTTTCAATGAACTCGTGAGAAGCAAATGCAATCATCATATAAACATTTTTCTAGTAAATCTAAAATAGAGTAAAACCCAGGGAAAAAGATCGCGTGGTTATTTGATTATTTCATAGGAATTGGGCATATTTCAATTTTGAAATAACAAAAGTCAGTCTCGGAAGAATTTTCCAAGCATTCCCTGCTTCGATGCGTTTTTATTGCAAGGGCCGTTTAGCGCCGATATGAATTCATTAGGGCATTAGGGCTGTGCTTTATTTGTTTTATTTATATAAATGTTATGAAATGTGTACGACACTTTAATGAATTATTTTTAGGGTTACAATGCATATTTGACTTTTCCCTCTAAACGTTTAAAATTCATCTTTATACTTTTCTTAGTTTGATTCAATAAAATTAACATTGGATCCCAGACAGTTATCAAATTCTCAGACATTTGATTAATATAGATATTTGTACTTCCTGTGACCAGTGGCTGGTGTGACTGAGATTCGAATCTAATCTGTTTCATTTTTATGTAAATTGAGAGGAATAAAGTTTTATTTTAAGCGTTTTAACAATCTTAACTTTTGGCGTGCAGCTCAACTTAATACACAATCAAAGGACTAAATACAGAAATAAGAACATGCCTTTTATTTGTTATTCAAGCTCGAGCAATATCCCCGGCGTTATAAAACCAAAATAACTGCGGTTAGGTAGCATCTTGATTACAGTAAAGACAGGCCATCTTATTTTTAGGAATTATTGCTGCCTCTCATTCCTTAAACCGGCTTCGTTAAACAGTGCCAAAATATTTAAGTCGGAGCCAAAAACAAGACTATTTTTATATTTAAATCCCCTCACCTTGTCAATGTCTATGCCTGCATCTGGTTTTCCCACCTTTGAGAGGGAGCCAATATACACATAGATTACTTACTGGCCATGGACAGGGGGGGGGGGGGGCACAGAAACGAACATTCTGGGGTCATAAGGGATAACTGGGGAAGGGGGGGGGGGTGGTGGTGAATAGTGAAGTCCGGGAGTGAAGTTAAGGGGTACTGAAATCCTTCTTTTGATATTTAGTGCTTGAATGGAGACTTGTTTCCACTCCCCGCATTCTAGTAGAATTTAAATATTTGATCCAAAGGAGTTATTTTAAATCAAACTTCCATTCCGATCACTATTGTCTAAGATAATTATAATGAATTCACGGGACACTATAGTCTTCCTTTTAAACTTTAGTGGTTTGATGGAGACTTGTTTCCCCACCCCGTACACTAGTAAATTTGTAAATTTAAATTATTTGATTTAGGGAGGTATTTGCAATCCAACTCTGATGATGCAAGACTAGTCAGCCAAGACTAAATTATGAACTTATTATCATTTAGACCATTGAGTTCATTAAATTATAATTCCATAGATATCATATTTAATCCTGTCAACACAATAATGGTATTAATTGGCATGATATGTAATCAGAGACGGTTTAAAAAGTTGTTTAGATTAATGATAGTATTAGGAAAAATCCTAATCCTAGTTTTTATTCTCTCGCAATCCAGAGCAAACCACTCGCCAGGCAAGCATTCTTTAAAAACGTGAAGTTTTCACCATGTTGAGCAGTTTTGAAAATTATCCAATTTGAACCATCGCCTTGTATATTTTTATAACTGCCACCCCCCCCCCCTTTGACACTCGAGTGTTAGAATCCTTTCCACACTGTCAATGGTTTTACAAAATAGTTCATGTCAGGAAGGGGGAGGGGTGAGTGTGGAGAACAATCACTGACTGCGGTTTGTATGATTGAACATTATACACTTATCATAAATTCGTAAAGAATAGTTTTAAAATAAACATGAGTTACTTGTAATTATCAGACCGATCTTTTATGGACAATATTATATATCATACTCTTTTATGGACAATATTATATATGCGAAGAATTATTAAACGCTTGCTGCATGCAAACATACAACACTTTTTAATTGGAATACTTTACTTAGTTAATTAACACAGTTGTCATATGACACACGGATAAGACGTAACTGGTCCAAGGATAAACTCTATCTATCTCTCAATAGAGTGAACTTTTTATTCCTGAGAATTAGGAGTTAGTCGTGGTTATTACTTATGGATAACACATAAAGTATTCTTTCTTAGTAGTGCTTACAAAATAGTGTTTCCCGTTGTGTTACATATACGTAGAACATAGCATACACATAAAAACACTGATGTGACTTTTTACAAGTTTGTGACGTCAAACTTACCGTAGATTAGATTATAACCAAACTGACCAAAATCAATAGCTTAAAATATAAACGACTGTGATTACTACGGATATTACTGCTATTCTGATCCCTACCACCACGTTCTGATTAAATTCTCACTATATTGCATAACTATTTCCTATAGTTTTCAACATAAATGTGTTCCAGCTGCAATTGAGAATCGAGGAATGACTCCTATGCGTGACTACATCAACAGTCTTGGTGGATGGCCCATACTTGGGGAAGTACCCTGGTCTATTCCTTGGAAAAGAAAAAAAATTAATTGGTGGTTTCTGGCCGCAAAACACGACGACTTTACATATATTCTTTCATGTTTCCAATAGTTAGAGTAGATCAGAAAAATTCTTCTGTTTTTATTACAAAGGTGAGATCAACCAATTTCAAAGTATTGATCTGTTTTCATTCTTTTAACATTATGTTGTAATTGTTAATTTTATGTTTGAACATTGATACTTATTGTATGACATAATCATACGTAATTATTTATCTTAATTTTGATATGAACCGATTGTGCGAAGACCAGTTCCTTATAAGCCGATGTCGGCTGTTGCCCATTTTGAATATCTATATAAAACAAAAAGAGTTAGGCCTATCAGTTATGAATAAATAAGCCATTGGTGTATACAGTTTGTTAAAACTCGACTCTGTTTCTACGTTCTGTACAGCTCGTGGCGGCTTTTCAACATACACTTGGCTTTGATTCTCTAGAATATATATTATATGGACGGAATCACACATTTGTAAAGGCATATGAAGAATGGATGGTTAGCTTTGTGATGCTCATGAAAGAAACTGACGACAAGACTATAGAGGCTAAAGTTCGAAAGGACGTCGGGGGTGTGATTGATTTTGAGATAGAAATTGCAAAGGCGAGTGATTATTATTGAGTATGATTATGTACATCCAAGTGATAATTGACAGATTTTAATTTTTCTCTTTCTAATAAGACTTGAATTTCATCGTTATCACTACGAATAACTTTTGTGAGATTGCAAATTTAATTCACTTGATCGAGCTCAAGATTAGTCAACATACGAAAACATTTAGTCTTGCTCAAAGACTGTATCCATCTCTCCCCGTCACCTTCACTCTCTTTACCTGGCAATGTACTAGAGAGAAGGATAAATGGGGGGGGGGGTACAGGGTCTTTTAAGCAAGACTAGAAAACATTGCCTTCTATACCGCGCTTTTAAATCGATACGCTTCTAAGATATGAGATACAGGGTGTCCAATAAATAAGGTGAAAGATATTGTAACTTTCTTAATATTGCACCAATCTTGATGAAATTGTCAGAGTTTGTAGTCCAAACCTTTTTATCTTTATTCTGTGAATTTAAAGCGTCTTCTATCTGATTGGCCAGAGTTGTGGTTGCTATAGCAACTGAAACAACAAAAGGGCGGGGCAAGTTTGTTTACGTCACAACTTTCCAAAACATATTTATTCTTTCTGATAGCTTTATTCATACTCCGAGGTCTATTACTGCCACAAATACAATATAAAAACAGTCCTAAAGTCCCATTGTTATGAAAATAAGCTATTCAACATAATGTCCATCTCTAGTCATACACTTCTTATGCCTATTCACCCACTCTCTAAACACACTTTCAAACCCATTCTTGCCCATTTCCTGAAGTCTTGCTAAGACATGTGATCTGAGTTCACACACAGCTATGCTTACTAGTGAAACTATTAGGGCACTGGGGCTACCCCTACTTGCACACCCTCCATATTCCCCAGACCTTGCACCCAATGACTTTTACTTATATGCAGAACTCAAGCGTGACTTGAGAGGAAATAAATTTGGAAGCACTGATGAACCCAGATCACATGTCTTAGCAAGACTTCAGGAAATGGGCAAAAATGGGTTTGAAAGTGTGTTTAGAGAGTGGGTGAATATGCATAAGAAGTGTGTAGCGAGAGATGGACATTCTGTTGAATAGCTTATTCTCATAACAATGGGACTTTAGGACTGTTTTTATATTGTATTTGTGGTAGGTATAGACCTGGGAGTATGAATAAAGCTATCAGAAAGAATAAATATGTTTTGGAAAGTTGTGACGTAAACAAATTATAGCAACCACAACTCTGGCCAATCAAATAGAAGACGCTTTAAATTTACAGCATAAGGTATGAGGTTCCATATTCATCCGCCAAAAGGTATGACCCCTATATAGTCCATTTAAAAACTTGTGGTTTTGTACTAAATAACGCCATAGTTGACTTCTAGGGTACCTAGTATGCCACTATTTTGTATCATAATATAGAGGAGGAGTTCAACTTTCATTTGAATTACGAAAATAGCGATGTAGGTCAAAAATAGTTCCGACGTGAGCATGTTTACTACGCGTTTGCCCATCATATCAGAATTGAGGAAGTGGTAGCAAACGCGAGTCACAATAAAGTTTCTTCCGACTAACAAAACAATTGTAGACCTCTCCATTCGGTCAACCGTCAAGACCATATACCTTGACTGTAAACCTTGAAACTACTGTTGACCTCGACCTTCGGTCTCTGTCAACAGTAGTTTCTCGGTTTACAGTCTCGGTATACAATTTTGCCGGTTGACCTCTGGAGAGGTCAACAATTGTTTACTGTAAAATGATGGTAAATTGTGGTGTATGTATTTTATGCATCAGTGTGACACCGTTTAGAACTTTTTTCTAAATATTGCATATACCAGAATTCTACTAGATGTCCTGTATGTTCTGATAATTTTAATTTTGATTATTTATGAATTTAATTGTAGTTATTTTCAAAAGAACTTCATCGTGACAGTGGAGGTTTTTACAACAAATGGACTATTGATTTTCTCCAAAAAAACATCACAGGGGTATGTACGACTACTACCGTATATATATATACATGTACAGGGTGTCAAAAAACAACGGCACCCCCTTCTACAGCAAAAAGTACTTTATGTTACATGGTGTGTCTTATCTCATTTTAAAGACAATTTAATTCTGGAGTTGCCTGAGAAATTTCAGCTTTATATCATATAATTTTACAGATGTACAGCTGATTCTTAGTTGTTGGTATGACCACCAGTTGCTACTCAAACTGCAGCTTATCTGGACTGATATGATTTCAATAAAAATTCAGATAAAGGTGTAGCATTGCATAATCCACTAAGCACTTTCCTCACATTCTTCAGAAATACATCCTAACTGTATCTTTTTTCAAGAGGCTCTTTGTCCATCAGTTCCTATACCCTGTTTTTCAGAACTGAACCCATATGTCCAGTGCAATTGGAATCTGGGCTAATTCTTTCATATTCCACTTTCTAAAGATATGACCTTTAACCAGTAACAGAGCAGCAAACAAAGTACCGACGTAGCAAACTTAAAAACAATGTACATTTTTTAATATAAAGATTTATTCAAATGAGGTATGACACGATGTTGGACATTCAGGACATTTCACTGTAGAGGGGGGGGGTGCCGTTGTTTTGTGACACCCTGTATATATATTATATGTATATTAGCTTGGAAACTGCCCGGGACTTAAATATTAGTACCTTTCCATAAAAAGTAAGATCTCGTTTTGACCACAGTATAAGAACCTTTTCAAGCATATTTAACTTTCTTTCAAAATTATCTTTGTTATTTGCATTCGTGTCATATGATATTTTATCCCTAAAAGTCTACTTGGTATCTTTACCCATTTCAGACCAAAAAGGTTAATTTCATTATTATGACGATCACTTCCAATATACATACACTCTATTAATACATAAACCTGATATTAGTCTGAAATTTTCAAAGTATCCAATGCTTTTGTAATGATGTTACGTCCTTAAGAGTCAACGTGGTATCATCTGCAAAAATTGCTAGTTTATTTCTACTTATGAAATTTAACAACTGATTAGTTTCAAGGCAGTCTGGGTAAATGGGTAAGGGTGACCAGTTTTAATTTTCGATCCCGAAAACTGTATTCTATTTAATCAAGGATGCGATTCTGTTCACTCTGAGTGGAAAAGTGGCAGATAATATTCTCATTTAAATGAGTTGCCCATAAAATAGTAAGTCAATCTGGCAGCCGGTAGCCGAAAGTTGCATTCTTAGAAGTTACTATTAAAATATTTGCTGTGACACCAGATGTGACTAAACATTGCATCTTTCAATTCAAAACAAAATAATGTTTTTCAATTCAACAATTTACTTTCACACTTTGCTTCATTGGTTAAATGATCGTTTGATTTAGGTGGATTGGCTAAGGTATTTCACCAAGGTGTTCAAAGGTGTTAACATAACCATAACAAAAGATTTAGAAATTAATGTAGTAGGACCACAATATATCCGGGACTTAATTGCCCTAATAAACAGAACTCCAAAACAGTAAGAATATATTTCTAAACAGTCAACTGGTAAAAATTAAGCAACCCTATTCGCTATATATTCTACTGAATTTACACATATTATGAAAATTCGTGTATCTTTCTTTTACATCTACGTTTACTAGGACCATACGTCTTAGAACAATTACGCACCTTTATAAGAAATGGAAAATTGAGTGATCAGATTGTACATTTTGGAAGAATTATAGTTCGAGGGGAATCGATAGATGATTGTTGTTTTGTGTTTCCAGTGTTGTGGCTAATTATTTACTGTGGAATGCAGTAACTGATGAAGATGGTTTACATCTTGTGATGGGGAGTGATTTCAAAGAAATCAGACTAAGACTTGAAAAGGTGAGTAGAACTTGCAACCCTATCTGGGTACGATTCTAACGTTAAGTAAATTATATAGTAGTTATATTTATGATTGGATTTTGTTAGGAATTTTGAAGGAATATGTGTTAACAGTTCAATAGTATACTATAGTTAAACGTTAATTTCATACATGTCCGTGTATTATGCATTATGCATTATATAGACTTTTATAAATAAAAATAAATAAAACACCACATTTTCTGTTTCGTAAAAATAAAAAAGACCCGTCCGTGCTCTGCACACCGATCTCAAATTATATATGTGTCTTTTGTAAAGGTTTTATATGGCATCGAAGGTGGCTTTTTTCGGCAGTTAGATGACCCAAGGTGTAGGTTATGTACTGAATTCATTGCACAATACCTAATGATATTACCTGCATCAAGGTTGTTCCTGGCAAACAACTTCAACCGTGAATCAAAGAAAGTTGTAAGTTTCTCATTTTCAAAAGTTCAATATATTATTCAACATTACGGAGCCAATTTTGTATCAGACTCCTTCAGGCATATGCAAACTAACGACAAAACTCAAGAGCATTTGGTGCGGAATATATGGTCATTTTTTATTTTAAAAAATTCATGATATTTCTGAAACTAAGCCGTTTTAGGTCTTCAAATATATTGAAGATATCCCATGATATACCATTTTACCCATGAGTGGATATCGCGTATTTTGGTTGGTCGGAAAGGATTGGTATGATATGATTAATTAAATTCAACAATGTTTTTCTCTTAAACCAATTATTGAAAACATTCTGTAATACGCTGTCCTTTATGTAATGTTGACTGATTGACAACAATTGACAACAAAAGTATTTATATTAAATATATTTTATATGACCGTTTTTGTTAACATTTTTTGTTTTTTTAGTGCAATTGTTTTTTGTTCATTTCTACAAATTTTCGATAATGAAATAAAATCTCGTTCCGAACCTTGTTGGAACAAAATAGCATATACAACATTTCCTTAGATCTCTTAATATTGTAATTATACAAAGGGAATTTTGGTTGATTTTACAAAAAGTATTCAAAAAATTAAAACAACCCCCCCAAATAGATAAAATTAAGACAAACCTTTTATTTTATCAACAAGATGCCTTTTTTAAAATCAACCAACATTTCCTTTGTACAATCACAATATTGAGAGACCTTCACACGTTGTGTTTATGTCGTTTTGTTCCAGTGAGGTTCGGGAAGATGTTTCATTTTATTCCGAACATATGATACCAAGAACAAAAAAAGTGACTGAAGTGTTTTCTAAAACAATATCGAGAAAAGTGCATATATCTTTTCAAATTATATTGTTACCATTCAAAAGATGACCCTTAAATTGACGATATGTAAACTTTTTACAATTTTTTTACCACTGGTTAAAGAGAAAGGTGTGTTCAAAAAGTTCACCAAATCGATACCTTTTCTGAACTGTGGCTAATTGAACATTGTGAACCAAATGACCAAGATTGGTATGGGATAAACAGATCATCCTATAGTCGGTTCAGGGTATTTGTCTCTGGATAAACCCAATATCCTGAACCTAATATTGGATAATCTTTAATTATCTCACACTTGGACGTGTTACGGGTACATAAAGCAGATTTGTAAAATTTTATAGTTTCATCAGAGGGCAAATATAGCTTTACGTCCCGCTCCGAGCGGGCAGATATATAGATAATTTAGTGGGAGGGATCGAATATGAGTTTTATTCCGAGGGACAATATGATATTGACCAAATGGTAATATGATATTGACCGAGGGAGCGCAGCTATATCTGCCCGGTACGTCATAATCGCTGTTCGCATACGAAACTGAACATGGATACGGTTGGCTGGAACTTTTCTGAACTGAGAAGAATTGGACAATGTGTACCAGATGACCAATATTGATATGGGTGTCTACAAAACTAAGACCTAAGACCTACAAAACTAAGACCCCCCACGTTATAAAACTAAGACCCTGTTATAAAACTAAGACCCCCATGTAATAAAACTAAGACCCTGTTATAAAACGAAGACCCCCCACGTTATAAAACTAAGACCCTGTTATAAAACTAAGACCCCCCACGTAATAAAACTAAGACCCTGTTATAAAACTAAGACCCCGACGTTATAAAACTAAGACCCTGTTATAAAACTAAGACCCCCACGTAATAAAACTAAGACCCTGTTATAAAACTAAGACCCCCTACGTTATAAAACTAAGACCCTGTTATAAAACTAAGACCCCCACGTTATAAAACTAAGACCCTGTTATAAAACTAAGACCCCCCACGTTATAAAACTAAGACCCTGTTATAAAACTAAGACCCCCCACGTTATAAAACTAAGACCCTGTTATAAAACTAAGACCCCCCACGTAATAAAACTAAGACCCTGTTATAAAACTAAGACCCCCGTGTTATAAAACTAAGACCCTGTTATAAAACTAAGACCCCCCACGTAATAAAACTAAGACCCTGTTATAAAACTAAGACCCCCCAGGTTATAAAACTAAGACCCTGTTATAAAACTAAGACCCCCCCAACGTTATAAAACTAAGACCCTGTTATAATACTAAGACCCCCACGTTATAAAACTAAGACCCTGTTATAAAACTAAGACCCCCCACGTAATAAAACTAAGAACCTGTTATAAAACTAAGACCCCCCACGTTATAAAACTAAGACCCTGTTATAAAACTAAGACCCCCCACGTTATAAAACTAAGACCCTGTTATAAAACTAAGACCCCCACGTTATAAAACTAAGACCCTGTTATAAAACTAAGACCCCCACGTTATAAAACTAAGACCCCCCACGTAATAAAACTAAGACCCTGTTATAAAACTAAGACCCCCCAGGTTATAAAACTAAGACCCTGTTATAAAACTAAGACCCCCACGTAATAAAACTAAGACCCTGTTATAAAACTAAGACCCCCCACGTTATAAAACTAAGACCCTGTTATAAAACTAAGACCCCGCACGTTATAAAACTAAGACCCTGTTATAAAACTAAGACCCCCAAGATGTATAACGTGGGGGGTCTTAGTTTTATAACGTGGGGGTCTTAGTATTATAACGTGGGGGGTCTTAGTTTTATAACAGGGTCTTAGTTTTAAAACGTGGGGGGTCTTAGTTTTATAACAGGGTCTTAGTTTTATTACATGGGGGGTCTTAGTTTTATAACGTGGGGGGGTCTTAGTTTTATAACAGGGTCTTAGTCTTATTACATGGGGGGTCTTAGTTTTATAACAGGGGGGGTCTTAGTTTTATAACGTGGGGGGTCTTAGTTTTGTAGGTCTTAGGTCTTAGTTTTGTAGACACCCATATTGATATGGGATAAACAGATCATCCTATAGTCGGTTCGGGTTATTGGGATTATCTCAAGGCCAATAGAATATAGAAATATTAAATTCGCCTCGGGATAAATGTCCCGAAATTCATAAAGGACAATCTCTATTTATCCCATGGATGCAAAATATATGGGCATAAAAACACAAGATGATTGTGGTATACATCACTAAATCGTATCCTATCCATATGACGTGATATCAAATCGTATCCGACTGATAGATTTGAAACAAATTATATAAAAAAAAGTGTTCCGGTGTGATATCACTTGTTAATTATTAAGTATTATGCTTCTGTAACTATTTTTGACAAGGCCTTGGATATGATTCAACGACTGAAGCTAGCTTTCGCCGAGAATGTGAAAGAATCAGATTGGATGGACGATGCCACAAAGAAGACTGCCCTAAGCAAGGTGATTCGACTTCTAAATTGGTCTGATTAATCCATGGCTGTTTTTAAATGGGGAAGGTTGATTGGCACATTTTGATTTTCTAGGTTTTAATTATCGTAACAATATTATATTTTCTTCTTGCCCTCCGGGCCCTCAGGATATATTAGTGCATTGAAATCCTATTGTATTGTATTGTATTGTATTGTAATGTATTGTAATTGTTATCCCATCATCACGTACTGACACAGACGATCAACGGCATAGAAATCTGAGCAATAGGCGAATGCCCTGTGAAGAACATACGCATATATATTTTCATAAATGTTCAATCTTGTTCCGTTTTGTTTCATACAAAAATCAGATTTTGAAGTGTTGAATATATGAAGAGGGTGTTATGAATATCATTTGATAAAAAGCTTATTTACTTTATTTATATTCATAAATAAAAACACAAAATGCTCATCAATACTGGCTACCAAGATACATCATCAGTAGTCTCCCTTCCTCGGATTTCGGGGACAACAGTGTCAGGATATAGGGACAGAAAATATTCTAGCATAGTAAGAGGATATAATATACAGTTAGCAAGTGTAACACAGGCCTTGAGTTTATTGATTTTCTCCCTATATCATGACATGTATATTCTGGGGCTACGAAATGGGACTTTGCCCATGCTCCGACTATATCCGATTGTTATCTGGAAGGTGCCCCCAGCAGAGGTGATCAGTTATTATGAACATTGATCCACTTAAACTGATAATATTCAAGTTTAAGGGAACTTTCTTATATACCTGCCATGTTAATTGACTCGAATGAGCCACCTGGTGGTGAAACTACCTACTCGCATTTGGGTAATCAAATATGGATTTATTCCTTTTGACAACATGATTATCATATTGGCCCTCGGAATAAAACCCATATTGAATCCCTCCTAGTAAATAACCTCTATGTATACACCAAACAAAATGATATTCTATAATTATTGGTTTAAAGACGTATTGTTATATATCAAATTGTTTGAAAATGTATAAAATGAAGCTATTCCAATGTACCATATTGAACGTGACTATTTTCTCCTGATTTAAAGTTGGGTATTTGTTTTTTGCCCACCCTAAATATACGCATTGTTTTTAGTTGGATGCAATGCAAATGATGGTAGGATTTGAAGATTTTATATTGGAAGATGCTGACAGGCTTAACAAAGAATTCGAAGAGGTATGTTTATTGAAAACAAAATTAATTCTTCCTTGTTTTGAAAAGAAATTCAATTCAATAAATTTTAATTTGTCTCATATAATATGGCTGGTTGCCATATGATCATCAAATAATTTGTTGCTGTTAATGTTTTTGGCAACATAACCTAGATGAGGGGATTGAGATATGTTTAGTATTCGCCACTACAATCGTGTCCAACTGATATAAAGAGGTCATTCACCAAAAGGCATTTGATATGGGGAATATCCAAAGAATGATATCAATATTTCCCGAGGGATATTCTTCATATCATCCCAACGGTGAATAACGACATTATACCATGGTCAAGACCAATATCTACATAAAGTGAAAAATGAAAATGTTCAATTTTTTTTCAATACATACCTGGGACCCGGGCTGATATTTATATGTTCAAAAGTATTGCATTCATTTGCTCTGATTTACATACGTGTATTTGGGGTATGCACTGGGAGGTTTTGGATATGGGGTTTATCGAGAGGGAGATATGCATACGTATATAAGGGTTATGTACTGGAATGTTTTGGATATGAGGTTTATCCAGAGGGAGATATACATATTCCACTTGAGGGACCGAAGGTAGATGTGCATATCTCACGAGGGATGAACCCAATATCCAAACCGACTGTACATAGCTGCTTTATCCTATACCAAGTTTTCATGGGCATATTGCCATTTCAATAGTACAAAGTGTAAAAATAAACAAATCATTCATATGCAAAGTCATTTATTGCATTTCCACTACTTACCGGAAGCGGGAAGATATGCACCGAAGCGGGAAGATATGCAACGAAGCGGGAGATATGGAGGTTCTGGTTATGGAAACCTCAAAATCAGGATACAGGATATATGTTTAAGATTACCTATGTTAAAGATTAACTAGCATAAAAACACAAAGTATTTTCTTGTAGCTGAAAATCAGCAGAGAGCAAATGTTTGAGAGCATTGTCGAAAGCATGTACCATATGGCGAATCTGGATTTAAAGAAAATTGGTCAGTTGGTTACTGACGAAAATAGGTATATTTTTATATGTTGAGTACAAGCATGCGTCTACAATCATACATCTAACTGCATAAGAGAACTCTGTTGAACTCAAAATTCTCATAAATTACCATATTCAATTTGACAAGCGCATTCTGGTTTGATTGTAGCGGTGAAGTGGCAATACCGTTTATGTTGTCGGCTAAGAATAACAAAAGGATGAATCAGCTGAGTATGTTTTCTTGTATTACCTTTGTTATCCCACCTAACGTAGTTCGAGTTGGATATAGAGAAGCCGTCCGTCCGTCTATCCGTCCGTCCGTCTGTCCGTCTGTCCGTTTGTCCGGGCGATAACTCCAATACCTTTAGACGGATTTGGCCGTGTGTCCGGGCGATAACTCCAATACCGGTAGACGGATTTGGTTCAAATTTTATAGGCTTATGCCTTATGAGTGTAGGACCTCTGCTCGAGAAGGAATTTTCAGTATGGCCACTCAATTAAAAATGGCCGCCATTTTTCGTAAAAAATGTAATCGTTGATAACTCAAATACAAGTTGACGGATTTGGTTCAAATTTTATATGCTGATGCCTGGGGACAAAGGAGTTTCGCACCAAAAGAGATTTTCAAGATGGCTGCTTAATTTCAAAATGGTGGCCATTTTTCGTAAAATATGTGATCTTTGATAACTCAAATACCAGTGAACGGATTTGGTTCAAATTTTATATGATGATGCTTAGGGACACAATAGCTATGTTCGACAAAACTTTTTTAAGATGGCCGCTTAATTTCAACATGGCGGCAATTTTTCGTAAAAAAAACGTAATCTTTAATAACTCAAATACCAGTAAACAGATTTGGATGACATTTTATATGATTATGCCTAGGGACACAGTAGCTCTGTTCAAGAAATAATTCTCAAGGTGGCGGCTGAATTTCAAGATGGCGGCCAATTTTCGTAAAAAACGCAATCTTTGATAACTCATATACCAGTGAACGGATTTGGTTCAAATTTTATATGATGCTGCCTAGTTCACAATGGTATAAACTAACTTTGTGCCAAATTTCATGCTTCTATCACAAAGTGCACAAACATTTCAACATTTACACTAGCTATAATTATATAATAACAGAATAAGCATAATATGTTTTGTTCGGTGGGATTTGCTACTTCGTGGAGTTGCTGTTTTTCTAGTTAATAATATTTTTTAAAATAAAACAAAAATTGTTTTGAACAATAAATCTGTATACAATGGTAGAAATATGATAAACCAAAGCGTTGGTTAAATTCCATTGTTTGACGATTAACCCTAAATCAGACATTCCTAACACATGAGTGCATATGGCCACAACCAATTCATTGTAAATCATATTTTGCAGTTGTATCTATCCTTCATTGGCAATTTTTTCATTAATAGTTTTTCTTTAATCACCAACGCAATAATCAATCAAATGACAGAACAAGTCGTGTTGGGCTAAAATGGACGATCATTTATTCCAATTCTTATTTTATAAAATAATAACCGCCCTAAGTAAAATTAAATAACTTGAATCAATTATAAATTTTTTTTTTTTTGGTATTTGTGTTTTCTTATAAAATACAATTATAATACGTATATACATACAATTAAATCATAATGGGTGGGTGGGTGTGGTCGATCATGTTTTGACTGAATGAATTCAATTGATCTGGCCTGGCCGTGAGCCAACCCACTCCATGCATGAACGCTTACAATCAGTATACCTATTAAAACCTATTTATAGGATAAATATTCATTAATAGTTTTTCTTTAATCACCAACGCAATAATCAATCAAATGACAGAACAAGTCGTGTTGGGCTAAAATGGACGATCATTTATTCCAATTCTTATTTTATAAAATAATAACCGCCCAAAAGCGCCCAACACGACCTGGTCGTAGAAATTATTACATTTACGCTTTTATCAATACAATTGCCCAATAACTACTGCTGTATCAATCGTTTTGAGAAGTTAGCTAACACCTCGATGGGAGTTCTTATGTATCTCTTATAGCAGTCACTTGACCACCTTCCTAACACTTTTAACTCCCATTCTTCGAATTGGGCGTTTGCCCCTGACGTAGCACCTCCAATTCTATAGCTATGTCCACTGTATTTTTAGGATCAATACCTATTATTGATAAACACGTTCTAGTAGGACTGACAAAGACTTTGCGTGATAGAATTGAACCATTGTTCAGAACGAATAACGGTGTATCTTTTTTATTTCCAATGAAAAGTGACAGGTTGTTCTTCATGGCGCATACTGCGCATACGTTTGTTTCTGTACATCCAATTATCACTTGAACTCCTGTTCCAATTGTATCAGTTTTTGATTGTTTTAACATTACTTTCATAAAAGTTCCATTTACACCTTTGTGAAAAGAGATGTCATTGGTAGTCATGTTCTTATTAGGACAGAACGTTGAATTATCTGGTATAGTGATTTCGTTACACCTGAATAACCCGAAGAATGCTAGAGTCATTGCTGACCACATAACTATAGTATCATGTATTTTACTTCTATGAAGAGTTTCTAAAGATTTCATAATTTTATGGTCTATAGCCAGTTTTTGATTACATGTATTATCTTGTTTTGTATGAATAGCTTTCAATGCTCTCTTGACTGAAAAATTATCTTTTAAAATGTCACCATGACCGTTTTCTAGATGCATTGATCGAATAGCATAAAGGTAATTAACAATGGTACCATGTCTAAGATTTCGTCCGTCACAATCTGCTATGTAAGCCAAGATAGATGTTTGAGAGGCTGGGCAATATTCAAGTGAAAAACGATCACAGAATTTTATGAAACTTTTCTGACCTGCCAGATACGTTTTTTGTGTTGACATTTGAAGTCCATTTTTTATGAGTAAATCTGATTTCTTGACCAGTCTCTCAAGCTCAGATCCTGCAATCAGAATTTGACCAAATTAATACATTAAAAATCAAAATTAAACAAAGTATGTACAGTAAAACACTTGTAATTAAACAATATCAGATCTCTGAAGTGTACATATGCTGATGAAAGTAACTGACCACATGTATACAAAATACTTTACACTCAATATACGTTTAATCAATAAAATAGTTTGATTTCTTGTGGTTGCGTAAATTGTGTTTTTGTTTTAACCAGTTTATCGAATTCCATTTTCTGTTCCTTTAATGTACATTGAGCGACATGTACATTGATGTATGGCATTGTAATAAAATAGCGATCTCACTAACGCCATTAAATGTTTGTCTCTACATGCTCCTTTGTTGACAACGTGGACAATTGCTTCATTATCGCAGTGTATGCTTATTTTCTTCTGAGAAAGTTCATTTCCCCATGTCGCCATTGCAGTCACTATTGCAAAAAGTTCTTTAAATGCTATGCTACGTTTGGCGTGTTCGTCCGTGAAGATTCCAAATGTAAATTTGCCATTAAAGAATGCACCATATGAATTAGCGCAAGCGTCTGTGAACAATTGAAGCCTGGAACTCGGCGTCCATTCGTCGTCGAAAAATAAACTAGTTCCTCCCTATGAGGGTAGGTGGCTTAACCACCAAGATATGTCCGATCTGAAAGAATTGCTGATTTTCATCTTGTGATGTAAGTGTTTTAACTTTGTTGAAAGATCAATAATCCTTCTCAAGAACGTTTTTCCTGCGTATATGACTCGGCAAATGAACGTCAGTTTACCTATTAGAGATAATATTTGTCGCTTTGATGCTCTTTTCCTGACGAGCCATTTTTTCAAATCTGTTGTGATGTCTTGGAGCTTATCTTGCGGAATTTGGATTTCAAATTTGTTCGAATCTATGATAAGTCCAAGAAATTCTATGGAGGTGCACGGTTGTACGAGTTTCGACGGATTGATGCTGAAGCCAACGTCGGCACATGTCTGTACCATTATATCGAGATTATTCTTACATACGTCACTGTTTCTAGGTCCACATGTGAAGTAATCATCTAAATAATGGGGACATACTGTTGCACCATTTTGTCGCATTATAAATTCCAAGGCGTCTGCAAATTCGCTAAACAATTTTGGCGAACTGCGTGCACCAAACGGTAGAACTAAGTCAATGTAATATGTCGTGACGTTCTCGCCCGTGATGTCATTTCGTGTTTCCCACGTTGTTCCTAGGAGTTCCCAATCAGATTTATGTACTGGAATAAATTTAAACGCGTCAGCTAAATCAAGCTTGCTCATTAGCGCTGATCTTCCACATTGTTAGTAGTTATTAGGGAATGAGGGAGCCACATTCTAAGGTTGTACTACGGTGTACCATTACATAATCCCTTTGTTCTAAGGTTGTTCTAAGGTTGTACCACGTTGTATGTTGCGTAACACCCCTTTGTTCTAAGGTTGTACCACGTTGTATGTTACGCAACACCCCATTGTTAAGGTGTTGTACCATGATGTTCTACCTCTGTATGTTACGCAACGCCCTTTGTTAAGGGAGACACATGTCAACGTTGTACCAAGCTATGTTGCTCAACACCCATTGTTAAGGTGTTGTACCATGGTGTTCTACCTCTGTATGTTACGCATCGCCCTTTGTTAGGGAGCCACACGTCAACGTTGTACCAAGCTATGTTGCTCAACACTCTTCCCTCCCTACGTCTCCCGCTCGCCTCATTAGCTCGATAACAAAGGAGGGCGACGATTAGTGAGCGATTTAGAAAATATGGTACACCACTGTAAATGTCATACTTTTAACAAAACATCATCACAGTGGGATAAATAGGGAAATTCGGTCTTTCATTTTATTTAGCCTCAGCTCACCGAGCTTAAGTTTAATAAGAGTATTTTAAGGTAAGTCGCGTGTTTTAGTCGACTAATACCATTAACCTTTCAATTTTAACTCAAAACAATGTACATGTAAACGTGTAGGATACGCGTGTCATTTAATCGATATGTCGTATGGTTTAAACGTCTGGTCTTTTGAAAAGTGTAATAGAATCATTTGCGTGACATAAACAAGTCACAACAAGATTAGAACATGGCTTGCTTTATATAAACTTATATTTGGTCATACCCTATTCAATAAACAACATTGTCCCCTTTGGAAAAATGTATGGGATCAATTTATGCGAGAACTATTAACCATAAGAAGATTACACGTATAAATAGAGCTCACTCAAGAGAATCCTATAATTCAAAACGCCTGACCTTTAAATAAAAAATCAATATTCAATTGGTACAACACCATAAACACTTATATAATATCCGCCTTATACACACACGCGTGTTATAGTCAAAAAGTCTTGTGTCACTTAACTATTCTGACTAGGGTGTTTGAACGGTGAAGTTAAGAATGCACAATAATTAAAAGATGTAGCATTGAACACTGAAGTTGCAGTTTTATACATTGGATATTTCACAATTCAGTACTTATATCTGTGAGTATTAATGTTTTAATATGTATTTTCGCATTGAAATGTTGTCAATCAGTCAACATTACATAAAATATCATGTTTTTTTACAGAATGTTTTCAATGATTGGTTTAAGAGAAAAACATTGTTGAATTCAGTTCTCAATATTTAATACCTATCCTTTATGCTTTTATAGTGAACATGGATAAAGAAAAGGTTTATTGTCAAACTTGTGGCAAGTCCTTCTCAAGTGTGCATTCTCGAAACAGGCACAGGAGAGCTCAACACACAGACAAGACATATTCCTGTCCTACGTGTTTAGATGAATTTGACTATTCCCATTCCAGGGATAGACATGCCAAGAAATGTGCCAAAGAGAGGTGAGATGTGAAAAGATACAACACTTATTTCTGTTTTATGATAATTTGCCGTTTTAAACATACAGGCGCAAGATGTGATTAACAAGTGTAAACTGTGACAAACTGAAACTATATTTTAACATCCATGATTTCAAGAACATGAAATAAACGTATAAAACTAATTGTTGAAATTCAAATTGGAACGTTTCAAAGTATAAACAAGCCTTCGAATGTTTGTCCAAATGCAACCAGAATGTAGAATGAGTGGTGTATCCTTTTAAAGTAGCTGTAGGAATGGGTTAACATGATGTGGATGTAGTAGTTTGTTGGTCTTATTATGTACACGCGTTAAAAGTTCCACGTACTTTTTAATTGCAGTAATAAAGAAAATAACCCAGAAGCTACCCCTATCCCGCGACCACATGAGCGAAAACGACGGGCATCTCCGACACAAAATAATAGAACAATAAAAATCCTGAAAGATGGTCGAATACGGTAATAGGTTCACAGGATGGAACATGAAAAACATACATTTATATTTGGTTTAGCAGTATGAATAAATGAGCAATTAATCGAAGCACGAGATAAAGATTTTATATTTATTAGTATCTGTAAGCTGATTTGTAGGATCGGAAGTTATGACGTATAAGAGTATTTGAAGTCCTCTTGTGTTTTCAGGCTTAATGAAAGAAAATCTAGATCGAGCATTGGCGCAGGTGCAAAACAATTACCTAGTACTGATCCTTTGCCAAGTATTTCTGGCAATAATTGTGGTAACAACAATGTGGCAAGGTAAGTTAGACTAAATAAAGTTGACAGCAATATCTCATCCACTTACTATTAATTACATTTAATATGTTTGATATGTAGAAACATTAAAATATTGGAGAAACCATCACTAAATGTCGACTAAGTTTAACAAATTAGTTGCCGATTTACCAACGTTTCAAAACGATTTTAATTTTATTCTCACAATATTTACATTCAGGCTAAATGACCCATCCAAAAATACAGCCTCCCGTGCAAAACCTACTAGATGCTCAACGTCGGGTCAAGATGACATACGATCCTCAAACAGTACATCAACTCCAACGTAAGTATTACAAATACACATTTCGATATGAGTACTCGACATTATGTTTATATATCCTATTGATCTATATTAAAGAGCAAGAGCCTTTTGTTTATTGATAATCAAAGCTCGTTTGCATCTAGGTTAAACGTTCCCTCTACACTTCCCTCTGCAACCCCCCTGCAAACAACCAGTTCCACGATTCAAGATGGCGTAGTCACCCAGAAATCACAGTGAGTACAAACAATAATATTTCGAATTCTCCATTTATATATTCTTCTGTGCACATGCCATTGAAATAATTTGAAGTAATCAAAATGAAATGAATAAGAATAATAAACGTTCAAATACATCCTAAATATTTGAAATCAGTGAACTGCCTAGTACATATAAGTAAAAGTAACATGACAAGTGGAAATGGACAGACATACACCGACTAAGTTTCTAATAATTCTAGAGAGCTGGAGGATCTTGTTCTGAACATGTCGGCGTCAGCATGGAATGAAATAGATCTAGATTTTCTGGATGACAGTGCTGCTAGTATCTCCCCCTTATTAGACGACAGCTTCAACTTTGAATTTGATGACCAGTAAGTGCGCAAACAACAATAAATTAGAGTACATATGAATGGAAATAGTATAAAATATTTTATAATGAAGTCTACTTTGTCACAACTGGCGGACCACACAAATATTTTTATCGAATGCTGGTTATTATTTGGTGATTGTTGTAATTACAACTTCCTATTTTATTTAGACTCGGTGGCGCTGAAATTGAGCGAGACCCTTGGGTCCGAGAGGATGGTACGATAGACGAACCCCTCCAGGATCTCTATATACAACACTCAAGCGCCATATATAGACCACACCAACTGGAGAGTCCCGTCCTCCACGAATACAATTTTCACCTGCAAAATGGATCCGTTACAATGGATGATATCATAGCTCAATTGGAGTATATTTATCAGAACGAGGATTCAGCCTTCAGAGTGAATATGAGCTTGGGCTTTGTGTTGTCCAATCGGGAGACTGGACTGTTAAGGTAAAAGTCAATAAGTTGTTTTGTTTTTTCTTCCTTGTTTTTATTTTGTTTTTG